CGACAATTTGTGGGCAGGTTTGAAAGATGGAGAAGGCGAGTAGACGGATTAAAATTCCAGTTTTTGAGAGAGGGGGAGGGAGGGGTAGGCAAGGCTCAAGAGGTGTGGAAGAAAGGAAGATTCGAAATGATAATATACAGTTGAATATTATAATGATTATCGTATTTTCATTAAAATGTTTTTTAGTATAAATAATTGTATCATTCATTTAAAATTAAATTTTTCAAATAGGCCTACAATATTACATTCTTGTTAAACTAGCCTATAATTATTTGGTAAAAGCAAAAATCACCATAAATAAACATAAAATGTCGGCTATAAAAGAAAAGCAAAATGCAAAGGAATGATTTGATACAACAAACAATTAATAGAAAAAAGAATTTAGATTTGCAGTAGACCAGGGGTAGCGCCAGGATTTCACAGACGGGGGCTGAGGTCCCAGACGGGGATATGTTCCGACTAGAGTAAAGTGGGCATGGTCGTCAGGCATCACTCAAAATCTTTCGAAAGCGGTCCACGAGGCGAAGCCCTGAATGACAATTTAGGGGTTTTATTTAATTGATTTTAGAGTCTACTAATATGTAGAAAATACATGTTTTCTTCCCCGACGAATTGTGGTTTTTCCCCGCGACGGGGTGGGGCCCTCCCCGACGGGGGATGGGGGTTGCCCGCTGGTGCTACCCCTGCAGTAGACATTCTGAAGTATAAAATCACATAAAAAGTTGTTTCATTTGGAAATGCATAAAAAGTGACCCCGCGTAAAAACAAACGTACTCTGCGTTTGACAATCTCAACGATGTGTTTTATATCGACAGACCTGTACGCTACAAATACTATTGTTGAGTTGACTTGAAATCGTTGATGCTTCCGACAGCATCCTCTTGATTTGACGAGTTGGATGGTTGTTTTCCCACCTAAGTCGTTATCAACTCTACTCTCTGGTAGGCTTAGGTCATTCACACTTAAAATTTGAACAGAAAACCATCAAATAAAATAAAATAATCATTTCGAATAGGATTCTGTACTACTACCACCAATACCGCCATCACCGCCTAATGGCCATAAGCTAAGCATGTGAAGTGAAGATATCTAATGTTATAAATGCCCACGTACTTAATGATATTCAAAGTAACAATAATTAGGCCCAATAAAACATGATTAGTTTATCATCCCGACCCCTGTTCATGCTGACTAATAACCAAGTGCAATTATTGTAATATTGTCATTATGACATTAATTAGCTACCGGTCGATATGTTATGGATTTAGTACAAGTTTGTTGGGATACTGTTAATTAGGAACTACTGTTTATCCATGGACATTCCCTCTATTATTTGTATTGATATTAAGCTTCATTATATATAGCAAGGAGAACTTTTAGACAGATAGTACATCATGCTAAATGCAAATTAACGACTCATTGGTTTATGATGAAGTTAAATAACAAACCTGAATAAATAGCTACCAGGTTGCTAAGCAACTACAATGGCAGTAATTTATGAAAAATCAATGCATTGGAGTTTTCGGCCATCTACAAGCGAATGTCATTTTAGTTTTTGAAAAGTAATCATATAATTATTTAATCACCATGATTACAATTACCTTTTATCAAATCACAATTGTATACATTATAATGCATACTATTCCAGCACATAGCCCGATGCATACAATAACGAAACAATCATCAACAACAACAACAATAATAATAATAATAATAATAATAATAATAATAATAATAATAATAATAATAATAATAATAATAATAATAATAATAATAATTTGCAGTCATTAGGATGTCGGCTTTACTAAGCAGAACCAGAAGTATTCAGTTTGCATACAGTGCAACATTTACTATGCAAAATGAAAGCATGTTTATTTTTTTATTTTGTATACAATGTAATGATAATGTAGGCGGTGGACTATCACATGCGTCCGAGTGTCAATTCAATGTTTATTCGTGTTGTTTGTTTATCGTATACTGTATTTATAATAAAGCAATGAATTTCTTTATGCTTACGGGTCCGTTAATAAAGTCTCTGGAGAGAGATTTTAAGTCAATATACGGTACCTTATACGTATTTGTTAGTAGGCCTACGTGTTTTTCTTTAAGAATGATGAAAACCACAATAAACGTGGCTATGTCTAATCATTATCCAATCTAGACACAACAAATCCAGTATTAAGCAGTCAATAGTAAATTATAGGTCTGTGTTGGCCCGGTCTAGGCACACCAGATTCAATCGAAATTCTCTCCCTTGCAAATTCAAACTCCTGGATTCCAAACTTTCAAAGTAAAATTCATCTGCACTTTTTACCTTCCAACAAAACTTTTTTTTTTAAATTTTATTTCGGGTATTTATTTTACTACGGGTATTTAACATTTTCATTTGTTTTTGTGTTATTATTGACCCTATTTTCCACCGTTGACTTTAAATGATTCTTTGCTTTATTCTTATTTTACTCATCTTGTTACTTGTAAAATAAAAAATATTTTCTGTAAGTATGGTTGCATGTCACATGGTCCCACATGATCAGTATATGTAGTTTACTGTTTGTTGCCTCTTTTGGGTGCACTGTCATTTAAGATATGGAATGCCGCAGTAATTAAGTGATAATACAATGATTCCAATGGACATACTAAAAAACATAAAGCAAAAATAAATCGAATACGTACCGTATAACTACGTCAAATGTATCGAGAATGGCTTTAGGCAAAGCAGCATCATTTCCCACAACTATACAACTTGGTAATGGTAATCTTAAGAAATATAATATGGGATATTCAGAATAAAATCTGAAGAATATGATATTGGAAAATTATACAACACAACAGGTCTCGAGGTGGCCGTAGTGTAGTGGTGAATAGGAAGTACAAGAGTATATAGGCCTAACCCTATTTTCAAACAGTATTATGTACGGATTCAATTTTGTTTTCTAGCGCATGTGCTTATTAGGCCCCATAAAAAAATATATTAGTTTATCACCCCCTCCTTCATCACTTTCGGGGAAATTATGATTTTTTTTTTCAATCACCATATATTTTTATTTCAAACGGTCGTTATTCCATCTTTTTCACTTGAAAAGCTCAGAATTTCTTGCAAATATGTTTATATACTGGTACAACAAAAACATTTTTTTTTAAATTTAAATTTGATTCAATTCTTATGACTTTTGATATATTTGTCCCTCAATGTAGGCCTACCATTAGCAGGTATTTAAGCAAGGGCTTTTTAAAACAAGGTTGCAAGCAAAAATTGCCCTTGGCAGGCTTTGAACAAATGTCCAAACACCAAAGACAAAAGTTCGAATACCTCTACCTTTTAAACTTGTTTCGTATATCATTGTTCCCAGGTAATGTTTCTATTAAACTCTTCACAATGTCAACTTCGATGAAGCAGAAACACAAAACAAACATATTATTGAAACGATAGACTTCAAGCTATTAAAACATTTATAGAATCCAATTCATAATATATAATACTAGTGTAGGCCTATGCAATCAAAATGGTTCATATCTAAATCATCATCTATTATTTCGTATTTATATAATAGTTTCCTACGCATTTTCCTCTTTACATTATAATGTTAAAATAATGAATATTTTAATTATTTTTACGATTATCATTATATCATACACCAGTCATCATTTATATATTAGACCTATTCATAAAATAATTGTAAATATTATTTGCATTTATTTACTCACATACTCCATAAAGTCCGAATGGTAGTGGATATACTATATTTGTCCGAAGTTTAATTGAAACTTCATCCAGAAACACGGGCAACAGATGGTTCAATCTGCTATAAAGGATAACATTTAAATGCAAAATTATTCAGCTTTCTCAAGATGAATACAGCTTATCTAATAACTGAACTTTAGCTCTAGTTCGAGCTAAAAATAGAAATTTATCTTATTACTCCGAGTAATAAGATCGATTAAATCAACGCTCCCTTCAACTAAATGGTGTATGCAGGCTGAATTGAAATATTTAATATCAACATC